ATTCAAGCTTTACATGTGTTTTAATGCAGATCAAAACATAACATAGATAGCCCAGGCTAGCCTGATCTCATCTGATCTCAGAAACGAAGCAGGGTCAACCCTAGCTAGTATTTGGATAGGAATACCAGGGTTGTGATGTGGAGTCAGGCAGTGGCAAACCACCTCTGAACATCTCTTGCCTTGGAAACCCTACAGGGTCACCATAAGTCAGCTGGGGCTTGATGGCACGTTGTACCCCCATTGGAGCAGGAGCCCAGGAAGCACCGCCTCTGCAGAGAGCACACATTCTGTAACACGACAGGCAGATGCCGGGGCTAGAACCTCCCAACATGTTGTGGAGTCTTGCAGCATCTTGAGATTGGACATTGCCCCCGTGGCAACCATTTCGCGGTTGGTCCCACCCACCCTTTGGCAGCCATTTTGCTGTGGTGCTGTATGTTCTTGTAACATCAGCATGTCACTGGGGGGGGGAGATGTATCTTACATGAGCTAAAGGAATGGTGCCTGTTTGTAACTAATGGCAGTGGAATTGTACTATGGATCTTTTATGTCATTTTTTTTTTCTGATAAATAAAAACTGTGTGTATGTGGATGTAAAATTTCTGGTTTGTTTCCTAAAGCAGAATAAATTGTATTAAGACCTTGTTTGGATAAATATCCTACCTCATTTGTTTGTTTGCAGCTGCTTTTAATTGCCTCCAGTTTGGGCCCTGATGAGCAAGTTGTTTTCTGTGTAAACATCTCTAATACAATCCTCTTTTCAATTTGCATTGCTAATAGTGCTGACCTCAATGGATTCACTTGTTTTTGTTGGTGTTAGAGAAGGGTGAAAGTCCCCAAGCCCAGCCTTGAGTGTGCTTAATCTCTTACATGAAGGTCGAGGAGGTTGTTTCCTTCCTAGAATTTATCCTCTAACAAGGAAGCAATATCCTGAAATTCCAGGTTATATGTAGACTGAGCGTGGTTATTTGGTAACTGGAAAGTGCTCTGCACATGCTCGTTGATACTGAGTGCAGTTTTCAAAGTAAACGTTGATTAGCCTAAGGTCAAATTAAGCCACACATTCAACATAGCTTTTCAGGGTAACAGTTTTACAACTTTCCAATTACCTTTATCTCAGGGTAAACATATTTTATGGCAATCTTTGACCAGGTATATTGTTTTTAGCTTTGCAGCTGTGCATATCGTTGTTCTAAATTTATCAGCACAATGAAGGCGTGCAGTGCAGAGGGAAACCCTTATAAAATTTGAAACAGGAAGTGTAACTACTGAAGATAGCTGAAAATAGAATGGGCATCCTGGTGCCTTAAACAGCAGTTAGTGCTTCCACTCTGTTCAAGTAAACCATATTTTTGCTTTGTGCTCATTTTTTAAAAATAAGAACTTTCATGCGAAAAGTCTCTTTCGTTTTTTAAACAAACATGATTTTTTAAAAAGTCTGTATTTTTAACTTCCCCTGGCAGCACTTATGGTTTACCTTTTATTAACACAAACTTGAAATTCTCATTTTCTTGTACATTTTGAGTTCAGGAAGCACATGACAGCTCTGTCTGCATAAGTGACGCACACTATTTATGTACACTGGCATTTTCCATGGTAAACACCAAAAAATGCAAAACGGAAACAGGTGTTAACATACGAAGACACACCATATACATCAAGTGGTAGGAGCTGCAACTAGAGTTGCCACTTCCAGCTCTGGGTTGGGAAGTACCAGGACATTTTGGGAGTGCACCTTCCAAAGCATCCATTTTCTGCAGCTGAACTGATGTCTGTTGCCTGGAGATCAGTTGTAATCCCAGGAGATCACCAGCCAGCACCTGGAGGTTGGCAACCCACTCCTTGATATAAATTAGCCCACCATAGGACTTCAGAAATTGGTGTCTTCTGGTGTTTACCACTGCAAATGTGTTTGCCTCTTTTGGCATGCAGTGTGAACTGGCTGCCAGAGCCATTTCACGTACTACCCAGTGACAAATTAGGTTTGCCACTGGACGTGCCGTTAGCAGGAGATGCAGCCAGTTCCCTGTTGTCAGTCACTTTCATGCTTTATAGTTTTAGGTGTACATTTTAATAATTTTCATGTTCTTTTAGAATCTTCAAGAAACCCTCGTTTTCTTAAGAAAGGATGAGCTCTAGGTCTAACAGCTGGGGGGGGGGAAGCTTTAAAGGAAAGCTAGAAGTCATTGGAAACAGAGTATTTAAGGATATTTTGCAAACAGAGAAAAGTCCCCGTGCTAAATGTTGAATAGATATTGGTTCAATGTATGAAAAAGATTTACGATAACTTAAAAGCATTGCTAGGGTATGATTTCTCAGTATACTTATGCAAATGGGTTTTAGTGACTCATATCAGGATAGCATTCTGGAAAAGCGTTTCAATAATAAATGAGAACCAAAGATTATGCAGCTTTCTCAGGGTGCCTTATGACGTCACCAGCCTGAATTAGCACACTTATCTGTCCGGGGTGAATATCGTGAACGGGAATAATTGAGGCTTTGAGAGCAGAATCTCTCTTCCATAGCATCTGTGGCAGCCAGGGAGGGTAGGATTGGACAGAATAATTACCCCCCAGTTTCTGAGGCAGAGAATGTATATTTAAGCTAGTAATCCTGCGTTTTTTTTGCATGGATGTATAGGTGCTTTAGGATAGGCACTAATGGGAAGCAAGGGAGTGTGTGTGTTTGTATCATTCAGTGGAAGTAGCATAATTTGTTAGCATTGGGGAGGGAGGACAATTCCTTTGTAATCTTTGTGTAAGAGAGAAAACATCTTTTGTGCCTTAGTTAACATGGCAATTGTGGCTGGCCCTACCCCCTGCCCTTATCTTGTGGGAATTACATTACTTGCAATTGCAGTGTAGATTTTTCTTTCTTTTGAATTGGTTCTTTCATTGCTACTTTCTGTGTGGAGGGGGGCCCCCTGTGTCGTGTGCTTTTTTTCCTCATGCATATTTTGATTTCTTGATTTCAGGGCCTCCAGCACTGGGTTTCATTGCATTTTCCTGTATTAGGCAAATTAAACTCATAAGAGCTTGCTTTGTATTTTGCGTATTCATAGGACACTGCTCGTGTCTTTGCTTCCAAAAGCAAATTGTCACAACTCATTTGGGCATCAGATGTTTTCGGCTATTATGCACCAGCAAGCCCAGTCCTTCCGTTTTGTAGCATAGTGGAGAAGGAGGAAGAGTTTAGCCTATGATAAATGATATGGGCAAGGAACAGCTGCAGTGATTTGGAAGATACATATTGCAGAAAGGCACATAACTACAAAATAATTTATAATTTAGTTGTTTACAAAACTTGTACCCTGCCTTTCTGCCCCATCAGAGCCACTGAGGTGACTAACATTTAAAACATCTATTATAAAAACACACCAAAAAAGTTAAAGCTAAGATACATATTTTAAAACATAGAAAAGCTACTTAGAACATACAAGAGGAAGGAGAGATTACTGAGGGAATGCCAGATGAAACAAAGAAGTCTTCATCTGCTGGTGAAATACAATGACAATGTGGTGGGTGAATTCCTGCCCCTGCCCTCAATTGCCCATGTTTGATGAGTTGAGTAGTAGGAGAAAAATTGGGGTGGGGTGGGGGGAGACAGTGTCACAGCATCTGCAATGCTCCAGGAATTTACCATAGAGATAGGGAGGATTCCTAAAGTGTTATGTGTGTGTGAGCGTGTCCGTGTGTGTGTGAGATGTCACAGTATTCACAATGTCCCCCCCCCATGCTCCACCCCCACCAGACCCCTGGGATTCATGGCTATGGGCCTGGCAACTTTATCCTTGTTGCCTCAGATGTCCCTGCTAATGAAGCCCTTGTGAGTTTGCTGCCACCACTCTCTGTGTACTATGTATTATAATAATACTATGAATAATAATAATACTATGAATAATAATAATAATAATAATAATAATAATAATAATAATAATAATAATTTGATTTCACCCTATCCCAGCTTACGCCGGGCTCTGGGTGATGTGCAAAAGGCAAGATGCTATACAAGAAGATACAGTTGATGAGAATTAAAACCAGAGTTAAAAGATCCAAGGTGGTGACTTACAATTTTCTGTTCCAATTCTGGATTGTCCTTCCATTTAGTGGGAGGGGGAGAGGGAAACTTAAAATGAAATATGGGAGGGGAGGTAGAGGTTGCTAGGCAATGCAACCAACTGTTGCTGCCCAAAACTCCTTGCCAGCTAGGCGAGGGGATGCATATAGATGTTAAACAAACAGGGAGAGGAGTTCCCCCGGAGGAACCCCACATAATAAGGGTTGCCTAGAGGACACATCCTCACCCAGCACCACCTTCTGTCCTCAACCCTGGAGAAATGAGGAAAGCCACTTAAGGGGCACCCCATGGACTCCTACCTTGGTGAGGCAGTGAGTCAGAAGATCAAAATCGGCTGTGTCGAACGCTTCTGTTAGATCAAGCAACAACAGTAGCGCCGACTCACTTTGATCTAGCTTTCTACGGAGATGGTCTGTCAAGGCGACCAGCACAGTCTCCATCCCATGGCTGGGACAGAAGTCGGACTGGAACGGGTCTAATGCCAATGTGTCATCCAGGAAACCCTGGAGCTGCTCAGCTACCGCTCTCTCAGTCACCTTACCCAGAAACAATAACTTTGAAACTGGGTGGAAATTGGCTGGATCTAAAGGATCCAGTGATAGTGTTTTCAAGAGCAGTACAACCACAGCCTCCTTAAGACCATCCAGAAGAATCCCTGTCTCCAGGGACTGATTGATAGTATCCATCATAGGGCCTTGTAGCCTCTCATCACCAGCCTAGACCAGCCTTAGGGGATATGTATGAACTTAAACTGCTGGTAGTTCTTCTATGTTTGTATACTTGTCTGGCAAGTTTTATTTTGTTACTGATTATACAGTAACTAAACTCTCCAAATAAGCTATGTTGTATATATACTTGTAGGCAAAACTTATGCGTTATTAGATTGTATTATATAGCTAAAGCATGACCTTTTTTTTGTACAGGTTCCAGTTGCACATTGTCTAGGACCTCCTGGACACTATAAGAGAAAGTTTTGTGCTGTCTGCAGAAAGCAGTTAGAGACTCCAGCATTTCGTTGTGAAGGTAAGGCTGAAACACAGCGGGTCATGTTCTGATCTCTCCACTGATGGATGAGGGCTTAATTGACAGAAGAAAGACTGTGGACTGTGGATTTGTGTGTGGGAGGGATGGATGGGGGGAATGATTTAGAAAGGCAAAAAGGTTGAAAGGAAGGAAACTTCATTTCCTTTTCCTAGCAGCTGTGCTCTGTATCTCTAGCACTGCAGTACTACTGAGGTTGAGCTACCATGCTAGTTGTCACCGTCTGTTGCGAGGGCAAGTTTCTTCCAGAACATTTAATGCTGTGCATAGAGAGAAACTGTTCTCAAGATAAAAATCTGATGTCCTTGTAATGTTTAACAAGTGTTTATCGTTGTCAGATCACTGATGCTCCTGGCTCAGTAATTTTTACTTTGATAGTGGCCCCCCATGCCCTTAGATTTTCTCAACACGATCATCTAAGCTGCTTTGACTGGCAGTAGTAGGAAGTGCTGTTGGAACCTTTGCCATGGCAAATCACATTCTCTGCCACTGATTTATTGTCCCTCAAAGCCTGCTTTTGAATGTGGGTTTGGAATCTTTCAGTATTTCTGTGTTATAAAGATGGTGAAATCTTCTAAGAGTAAAACAGGAGACAAGACAATGTGTAGATATAAGCAAGTGCAAAAGAAAACTTCCTTTCCAATCTGCTTTCAGTGTGTGAGCTACACGTGCATACAGATTGTGCCCCGTTTGCTTGCAGCGACTGTCGTCAGACCCATCAGGACGGTCATCAGGATCATGTACGTACAATGACTATTGTTTTAAAAGCTTAGGAAACAAATTTACTTGGTGATGCTTTTGATTATTCTGCCATTTAACATATATTCTCTGTTTGCCTTAACGTATGTTCCGTGTTCACATTGAAGTTTCTGCTCTTTTACTTTAAAAAAGCTCTTCCAGACTTTCTGTTCATATTTCAAGCACAAATAATACTTCGGTGTACATTTTGTGGTTGTTTTATTTAAACAGTAAATATCTGGAATAATTGACTTGCCTGGTATATTTTTTTTATAGGACACATACCATCATCACTGGAGGGAGGGGAATCTTCCTTCCAGTGCACGGTGCAAAGTGTGCAAGAAAACATGTGGTTCTTCAGAGGTGCTCTCGGGGATGAGATGCGAATGGTGTGGCATTCTGGTATGTACGCTTGTATTACTCAATTTTTATGACCTACTTAATGGCTCAGCCAGGATCCTCAAGGCAATTTCTAACCATGTTCCATATAAAGATACAACAAAAAAGTCTTGTTGAATTACAAAGTAAAAACAATACATTTTTATACTGAAAAATACTGAAACAAGCATAAAGAGCAGTGGATATAGTCTGTAAAACCAGCATGACCTAGACCTATAAATGGTTTCCATATTTTTTTTTTTTTGGGGGGGGATTAAATTGTGTGGGACAAACTTACATAATGACAGTAAGTATGTGATGAACACAGCAAATAAATCACTGATTTTAGCAAAATAGAGAGAGCCCTTTGATGTCAGTCTTCAGATATTTTGTGTGTGTTTTGAGTGGCTGAATAGAACTAAAAATTGGCAGTGTTTCATGCTGCGGAATTTGTTTTGTGCATGACAGTGTTTGGAATCTTTTTTTTTTTAATTGACATGGTCAACTTTCTCTAGCAGACTTAAAACCACGGCACACCTGTGTGAATATGTGAAGGTGCCATACACCTAATCAGACCATTGTTCCATCTGTCCGAGGATTGCTTTCTCTGACTTATAGTAGCTCCCCAGGATCTGTGGCTGAGGTGTTTCCCAATTCTGCTACCTGGGTTTCTCTTAGTTAGAGACATCACGAAATGAACCTGGCAGCTTCTATATGCAAAACGTGTGCTCTACTATTGAACTCTGGTTCTTTTCCTGTCTTAACTGTAGTTTCCTTCTGGAGCTTTTAAACAATTTTGCTGCTTTTTCGCAGAGCAGAACCAAAGCCAAAATTCAGGGTCATGTAGCCCCTCTTATCCCAGTAGCTTAGGGTTGGATGGTGGTGGAAAGTGCCATCAAGTCATGGCTTGACTTATGAAGACCCTGTTGGGTTTTCAAGGCAAGAGACGAACAGAGGTGGTTTGCCATTGCCTGCCTTTGTGTAGCAACCCTGGCCTTCCTTGGTGGTCTCCCATCCAAATTCTGACCAAGGCTGGCCTTGCTTAGCTTCCGAGATCTGAATTTCCGAGATTGGGCTAGCCTGGGAAATCCAGGTCAGGGCTAGCTCAGGGTTGGTTAGATTATTATTCAAGCTTGAGGTACAAAATGGTTTAGTCTCAAAGTTTTTGTCCAGAGACCTTCACAAGGAGGCCTACAAAGTTAAAATGATACAACCGTAAATCTTAAACACAACTCGCTTTGTGCCTGTGAGCAGATGGGCAGCCAGGACAGATCTTTCAGTGTACAGGGGTGATAAGATTGCTGTATCCAGCCCCTGGCAATAGCCTGGCTGCTGCATTTTGGACAAATGGCAGTCGCCAGATTGTTTTCAAAGTGCATTATAAAAAGGGGAATACATATAAAGGATCAGAGGAAAGGCGATCCCTGATTGTTATAGGTCCAGCTGCCTAGTTCTCCTTCACCACATTCCTGGACATTTCCATTTTACAATCTAAATCTTAATTGCTGTCAAATCTTAATTGCCATCTCTTACTCTGTCACTGATGCTATTCTTCTATAAGTCTGAGGGCGGTATGGGAGCTGAGACTGATAAACAGCAGCTTTTGAATGAGTAGTCCGAGCGTACTTAAGAGCCCATCTTCAAAAGGCTTTTTATAAATCTGGTAGCCTCTCTCATGTCAGGAGCATGAAAGGGTTGGAATTGGATGTTACTGTGATTGATCTTTGCAAATGGAAGACTTAACTGACAGCTGACATTGGAGATCAAGAGTTGGGTTTTAGTCCGAACTACATCTAACAGTGTCAGACAAATCTTTTTAAATGAGACTCTTCTTCCATCATGTGTACACTGGTGGGTTGGGCGTGGGTCTGATTATAAGAATAAAAGGAGCTTGTGGATGGCAGGTGCTGACCATCCCCACACCTGTTGCTTGGTTTGTGGGGTGAACAATAATTGATATCAGTAAACTGTGTTGCTGTATAAACAGGAAGCTTACATTTGTGATATCTAGTTTTATGCTTGTCTTTGACATGTTGATATACTCTGGTGATCAGCTATATTGGATAATGTTTGGTTTGTCAGTATTTCTGCACATTCTAACAAAGCTGGAAATCCTCTGTGCAAACGATCTTTTAGCTTTGTAGGACTGAGAAGAGTAGAAAAAATCTTGGTTAGCATTGTACTGTACTGTGCGAAACACGAACAAAAGAGTGCTGGCAACCCAGAGTTCCAGTGCATTATATTGGCTATTTGATCATTATTATTTTTTTGTTATTCATTCATTCCTTAGTGGCAGAATTACTGATGAGGATTAGGGGTGTGCAAAAAAACTGGGTTTTTTTTTGGGGGGGGGGAGTTCAGCTATATTGAATCCGAACAATATTGGTATCTCCCAATATTCCCGAATCCCAATACCAGTATGGTATTTGGATTCGGTAAATATTGGGGATTGTCAGATTTTTTTGGCTCCATTGTACCTTTTGGGGACCATTATAGTCAATGGTTCCCATAGGGTATAACGGAGCATCGATCCGGGGGTATCTGGGGCTCTGTGGAGGCTGTTTTTTGAGGCAGAGGCACCGGATTCGTAGCATAGTTGCTGGTGCCTCTCCTCAAATAAACTCCCCAAGTTTCAAAAAGATTGGAGCAGGAGGTAAATGGTACTTAGGCTTTATTTGAAAATTGGAAAAAATGAAGTTTTTAAAAAGATTATAAAACAGAATGTCCAGTGACACGACGGTTAATATCTGAGTTCTGTTCTGTTGTGCACAGTTCTCCAAACATAAGGTAAAGGTAAAGGTTCCCTTGCTTGAAAGCCAGTCGAATCCGACTCTAGGGTTGCGGTGCTCATCTCCGTTTCAAAGCCGAAGAGCCAGCGCTGTCCGAAGACGTTTCCGTGGTCATGTGGTCGGCATGACTAAACACCAAGGCGCACGGAAGGCTTTTACTCCAAACATACTGGTGTACAAATATATACAAGAGAGCTGCCTGATTTTCCTCCCCACTCCAGCTTCAGTGCTGCATTTCACACAGTTCCCAAGGCTACCCTGCCCTACAGGACCAGCTCTTCAGGATGCTAAAATAGGAAAAAGGAGACACAGTTCTTGGGATTCAACCCAATGTTAGAAAAATCCCTTCGTCTATAAGTGAACAAAAAGTGTTTGAGTGATACTCTCCCCCCATTAAGTTCTTCCATTAAATAATATGCAGAAACAAGCTAAATGTTGACTTCCAATGTCTTTCTAGTACAAACAGTTTACATTCAGATACATTTTAAATGTACAGTACAGTTCTTCTTCACCCTTTTCTGAAAGGAGTGCCATATTTGTAAACAAAAATGTTAACCCAAATCTTGTTTATGTGGCACATTTGGATTACACTTGTGTGTGCCTGGCTTAGTTTTTAAAACTGACTGTTCTATCTCTCTGTTATATCTCCATATTCACACCACCAGCAGACCCTGGAAATTTAACTGTAGCTCTTTGGACAGATTTATATATATCTATCTATGATTTCATAGCTCCACTAAAAGGAAAAAAAATGCAGTACAATTCCTGAGCTAGCAAATAGTATTTTCCCCCTGCCCTAAAATCCATTAAAACCTGTAGCTGTTTGTTTCAGGACCAGTTACAGTAGATGGTCATAAATCCTGGAAAAGGAAAACATATAATTCTTGTTAACAGATGCCCTGAACTTTGCATCAGATCTTAATGGCTAATTCTAGACATATGGGCAGGGCTGAGCTATAGTTGTTTGGTTACCCAAAACTATGTTTGTCTGGTCTGTCACAGTTTTACCCTTCTCCATTTAATACTCATAATAGCCCTATAAGGTAGGCTAAGCTTATAGTGACTATTCATGGACAAACAGAGAACTTCATGAGTGACTGAGGATTTGAACTTCAGGACTTCTCACTCCTAGTCCAACGAACCACTATGCCTTAAAGGTTGCATCTCTTTACATTTTCTCTTCATATTTTATTCTAGGCAAAAGCCATGGGCCTGGGTCCCACAGAATATTTCCGCTAATAGAGGTGCTTTTTTTTTTTGGCAGGTAGCTTGCCCTTTTCACCAAAGGAAAGTGTCTCTAATAGTAGAACAGATTCTAAGGAACCTATAGAAATTTTTATAATTACCTATATTAGTGAGATTGTGAACACACCTGAAAAAGTTATGTGATAGATGTTCACTAGGTATAGGCTGCCTCTTTTGCTGTTACTCATCAATTAATTTTGTCTGCATACATTCCTTTATAAGAAACAAAAATGTCTTTATGTAGTGCTGTAACGAGTCCTTGTTTTATGAGAGTGTGTGTGCCTTTAAATGTTTGGCTGAAGTGTGGTGATAAGCAGACTAGAGTGATTGAGAGAGAGAAATGTGCTGTGATTGGTGGATGACAGTGTGGGGGGAGTTTTTGAAAGGAATCTCTGTGTGTGTGTGTGTGTGTGTGTGTGTGTGTGTATGTGTGTCAGTTATGAAAAGTTAGTTATCCTCTTATTTTGTTCCTCTTTCAGTAAATCCTATTTTATTTAAATATATCCCAGAAGTCATATCAATTCTTCTTCAGGACCACATAGATCCTTGAAAGCCTAGACCCTGGGTCACAATACCAACACCAGGAGCAAAGAGGGGATTTGGAATTTATTAAAATTCCTGGTGGCAGCTGGAACTACCTATTTTGTGAACACAAAATATAAATATTAAAGAGAAATACAGTCCTCCCCAATAAGAGAACGCCACAAGTGCATGCGTCCATGAGCATATAGGAATTATCCATTCACCCTTGCCATTGCTTGGGGTGAAACATATCAATAGTAGACAGAACAAATGAATAGAAAAAGTGATGAAAATCCATTTTTTAAAAATAACTTATTGAGTGACTTGAAAATGTATTAAAATTAGTGGGTAAAAATGTTCCTGGGAACTACTTACTTATCTACAAAAGACTTCTTTGATAGTCAGTTTGAACCAGTGAGATTGCATTTGCCCACATGCCTGTTGAAGCTTATCACTCTGATTCAAGATCTATTCTTGGTACATGCGTGCAGCACTTCAACTTGAATGGGAATAGCTGATAATAGTGGAAATTACTGTGCATATGTATAGATTTAAAATTTCTGAGAATTGTGGAGCTTTTGACGGGGAACCTTTTTTTCCAAAAAAGAAACAGAGATAGAGGATGGGGGAACTGAAATACATGCAGTATTCTTCTAATCAAACATTAACTTGTTTTACTGCTTTAACTATATGAAGTGCATCACTGGTAACTTAGCACATAGTCTTGAGCTACTTGGCATATGAAACTCACCGGTATAAATGCCTGAGTTTTCTAGAAGTAAAGCTGCTGTACCCTGTGCTATCCGTAGCAAGTGTGTTTCAGTTCTTGTCATCTGAGTGGTAGGGAAAAATTAAAATTGATCATAGAAAACACGGGGTTTTTTGTTGCAAACAAATGAGAATGTTATTTGTACAGACAGTTTTGTACACTAATAAATGTAGCACCTATAAACATTGCATTAAACTTTGTTACATTGAACGTTATAACATTGTTTTCAGTAGTATGTTATACAAATTATAGCATGACTGCTTCCCTCCCCCCATTTCCCTGGGACTGTTAGTGCCTATGTCATTTGAGGGGCAGATCAAACGGGTAAGCAGAAGTCCCAGTATGCTCGTCTCCTGAAGATCATAGCGTCCTCTGTGCAAATAAGTGCATCTTGAACTGGAGTGTTGCCTATGTTCACAGTATATACAAGAAATATCATTGGCTAATGCTGTCAACTGTCTTATGCAAAAATCTTCACGCTACACATTTTGAATGAATAAACCTTGTTTTTAAAAGCATTTCATTCATTTCAAAATCAAAAATGTTTCATCTCCCCCCCCCGCTCTGAACGTCAAGTATTTTTCCCCAGGCCACGGCATCTGAATTTGAGAAAACATACTTACTGGTGTTCATGAATGGTCTTTGGCTTCTAGGGAAATGTGGGAACCCCCCTCCCCCCTGAAGGATGCAGTGTTCATTTACAATTCACCAGTAGAAATTAGGACAGGCTTTACATGGCTCTTTACAAGACCTTTGTACTGTTATTTCCATAGGCTCATGCTGCTTGCTGTGTGATTATACCTCCAGAATGTACATTTGGAAGGCTAAGAAATATGATTCTTCCTCCGAACTGTGTGCGCTTATTTTCTCGCAACTTCAGTAAAATGCACTGTTTTCGGATATCGGAAAGCTTACAGACTGAACCAGGTAAAGTACTGAATGTGTAAATGTTGAACTATTGGTTCCACTAGCAACTGAGCAGTCCACTGACTTCAGTGGTCTAAGAGGGATGTATCTCTGCTTAGGACTGCACTGTGCATGTATTGATTATTACTAAGCTCTGTAAGAGTTAAATTATTATTATTATGAGGCTGTCATGCTGTTTATTGCCAAAGGAGCTATGATTCCTAAAAGGAGAGGCTGTTGAACACATGGGTAATTAACCAATGATGCACAGCATTGGCAATGTGTGTGTGGGTTTCTTGGAGAAATTTTTGTTCTCGGGTCTTGGTGGGTCAGACCGTCAGATGTGAGCTTGCTGCTGTATGATAATTACCTTTGGTGCGATTTTTAGCAATAATGGCTTCAAAATTTCATTGATTTTTTTTTTAAAGAGGTAAGTGGGATCACTGGGTTCAAAATTTCAAGGAATCTTATCCACTTTTTGGAAGGGTGCTTGCGATAGGATTTTGTAGGGAATAGATTGCCCTGAGCTGTGTTACGTTATTACAGGAATAAACTGTTCCTACCAAGTATATGACTTCTGATGAATGGCTGAACTTGAGTACGGTTGGTTGTCGAGCAGATGTTTGAGAGTTGCTTTTGTATACAACGAAGCTGTAGCAATGGACCACAGGGCAAGAATTCATTGTAGCTTTTTTCCCTTTCTCTTCCGGTCTTTGCTTTTATTTTTCAGTTTGGTAGATATTCATTCAGTGACATAGCAATTAGATGTTTATTTTGACCCTGTATCGAAAAAGCATTAGAATACCGACAAAAATTGTGAGCTGATCAGTAGACCATTTCTTCGGTAATCAGAGAAAATTGCATAGCACAATAAGGTGGGAGTGTTCTCAGTGGGTGGCCAAAGTCACCTCTTCATTTGTTTTGGCTTTACTGAAAAGACATTGCACAGCTTCCAGAGTGGTGATGTTTTACTGCCACCTAGGGTACATCATGTGTGTGTTCTCTGATTTTCAGCTCCTTCAGCTGCCTTAAACATGGTGCATGCTGGGTTTTGTAAAACCCTGTGCAAGTAAAATAATTCCATAAAATACGTTTTCGGTATTTCAACACTTTGCTCATCTTGGAGAGTGTTATGCTGCCAGGTCTGGTGGTTAACAGCTTTTAATTCAGCATGAACCCCGATGGTCGTGAAAATCAACTTGCTTGTTCTTGCCAGCAACTGTTATGTGAGAAATTATAAACAATGTGCTATGTTATGCCTGCAACATAACTAGTGGGATTCAGCTCTGATTGGCAGGATTGGCTGTCTGCAAACATCTCTTGAGCGGAGCCTCGTCTTAGGGTCAGTGAAGAAATAATGTTTTCTCCCCCCCCCCAAAAAAAAGCTTAATACTGGTTTCAAATCCTGGTTAAACAGGGTGGAATTGTTGATTCCCATATATTGCCCTGCACCAGCTGCAGTCTTCAGGTTGCCACCTGCTAGTAGTACCCCACTTTGGGTAGTCTGCCTGGCATCAACTAGGGACCATTTATTTATAGTTCCAGCTCTGTGGAATAGGCTGTCTGAGGGGAGTGGAGGGGGCCACCGTCTCTAGGAAAATTTAGGAGATGCTGCGAGGCTATTTTAGTTGCCAGGAATTTTAGTGGGATACAGAGTCACCAGTAATCAGCCCTTGCTTCAAGTTAATGTTCTTTACTATTGTGAGGTGAGGGGTGATGTAGGACAGGGCACTTATATGACAAGGTGCAGATTTAAGCATAAAGGAACTCTGGAAAGAAAAACCACTTTCCGGTGTTGGTTTCAACAGGCACCTGTCATGACTGGAGAGACTGTTTGTGGTTATGAGCATTAAGTAACCTAAGAATAAGTAGTGCATTGTGTATCATCTTCAAAAAATCTTCATAAAAATACATTGTACCCTATGAGGTTGCATAAAATCTCTAATTGGTTAAAATCAATATATTTTATGGTTATAACAACAAATGAGTGTTCAGTTACATTTAGGAAGTATTTAACTAATGGAATTTTTTTCATTTAAATGAGTGATTTAAAGTGGCAAAGCTTTGCTTAAAGCCATAATTTAATGTGGCATTTTAAATAACTGCATTTTTTAAAAATATCATTTGTGTTCATTATTTAGTTTGAATTATGAATCTAAAAAATTGTTCACTGAAAGTAGGGGTGGAGGGGAGAGAAAAAAACACAGGTTCATGATACATTTTAATGGGAAGGGACCCATTGTAGTATAGTTAAAGAAGTAACCTTTATACAATTGATTTTTCAGAGTGCATCTTTTAACATCGCATGCTCTTAAAAATTGATTCTTTGTATAAAGAGCACAAGGCTCTATAAAAATGCCCACTTGTAGAGAATATTGAATTAAAACTATTGAATTAACTGGAACAAGTTGTTACAGGATGATGTCTAAATTATTTATGTAACTCACCATCCACTAGATGGAATTATAGTGGGATTTTCTGGTAATTTTGGGAAAAAGCAGTTCCTGAGTCATGTTGGTGCATGTCAAATCTTCCTTTGTCAGTGCAGGCAGCTTCAGTGTTTACCTAAATGGAAATAATCAGTCTTTGGTATATCTGTGACTATGTAGATGATAGAATATGTTGAAAGAAAGCAAAATGTTGTCTTAGACCTTATTGGTCTTAGATGTTATTGAACTTATATTGTCCTTGCTGAGGGGCAGGTTGACAGTTCAAGCACTTTGGGCCTTTCAGATAACACACATGAAGCAGCTTGTGATTGGGTAACTGTGTGTTCATGATCGTGACTTCTGTGCAGCCCCACATAGGGACTGCACAATTTCAGGCCAGTTGGGGAAGAGCTTTCAAGCTTTAAAGAACTTTCCAGAGCCTAAGAGTGCTCCCCTCCACTCCATCCTGAGTGTAGCCTTTCCTGCCCAAAGTGTCACATGACTGAGGTGGGGCAAGCACTCTTCCCTCAGTTCTCTTCTTGCGGCCATAAGGAGCACACGAGTTGTATGATCTGCATTTTTTTGGAGTGTAAAGAAATGCATTTTTCCTGAAACGTTTGAAACGAGCAAAATTTCCAGTTTGCGTTTTAAAAGTTTTTTTCCATCCTATGGGCAGAGAACAGGCAGGAGGGGGAGGAAGTCAGTACAGTTGCTTTCCAGACGCACCTCAGCCCACGTTTCATACAAATGCTAATAGATCTAGTTAGGAGAAATAATGGGTGGGTCAAGATCTCCCCCTTTCCTCCTAGTAGGGAACAGAGATTTGGAGGAATAGAATGCTGAAGAGTCTTCAGGAAAGAGATTCCTGGAGCAAACTTGAAGGTAATGGTAACTCTGTATAAATCTAGAACTCCTAAGCTAAAGAGCCTGTTCTATATTTTAACATTGGAGAGTGCATTGGAGAGTTGAGCATCTAGAGTTGATAGCCAGTGTTTCATGATGTCTTTCTTTATTTTTGTACTCAAAATTGTGTGTCTCCAGTTTTTTTAAATTATCCTATAGCATTATAAATAGGAAGAATGACAGCTCCAAATACTAATTTGATCCTGTGGCTTTTCTGCTCAAGCTTCAGAGAATATGATTATTTTAATATATGCGCACAACACAGCGTCGTCGTGTTTACCATCCTTTTGGAGTTGTTTACAGCACAATGTCTGATTTTAAGATAGATGATTTGTGCAATCCTCCATTCATGGAGACTTCTCAACTTTTTTCCTGCAGATGACGATGACGATGTCGATAGTTCAACGCAAGGATCGCTGAAGGAACCCCAGGCTTCAACAGACTCAAGCACATCAGGTTTGTGTCTAAATAGCAAGTGTCTTTTCAGAGCAGGGTTTTCTGTGGATGTAAGGTGGGTTTTACTGCACTAAGCGTTATGCAGTTCAGTTTCAGAAGGCCAATAATAAGGTATCTGGAAGTAATGCCCTTGCAAGCTGTCTCTTGCTGGAAATTGTCCCAGCCTTCAATTTGATAAAATGAAATTAAGGCTGTGGCATAATTACACTGCTGCTGTTCTGAAGTGTCAGCCATCACTATTAAATACTTATGTTCAAATATTATGGAGGGGGCAGTATAAAAGATCTTTGCTCCAGTGAGGCCCTGTACTAAAAAGTGGTGTTAATCTCCATCCAACATGGATTCCACTGGCATCTGTATCCAGTGGAAGGCCTTCTACCTTTTGGTAACTCCATGATAGCAGCACTGAGATGGGTTCTGCAGAAATTGCTGCTGGAGGCAGATTTTTCCCCTCCCCTCTCCCCCAGCAGCTGCTTCTCAGCCTTGAAAAGGAACTGTTGAAAAAGCAGTGTTGAGGGTTTATTTATTTATTCATTTATTGGACTTCTATCCCGCCCTTCCCTGCATTGCAAGGCTCAGGGTGGGTTATGTGTGAGAACCCATTTAGATGAAACGCTGGGTAATGTGACCAGCCTCCATTGAGGAAGGGACAAGCAAATGCATTTGCCCCAATTTGCCTCTTCGTCAGCAGAACTAATTGGTAGAATGGACAGGTGGGGTGCTTATTTCCATACACCCTAAGGTGTGGTAACTTCGTTTGGGTCTTTGTTTACCCAGTAATACACTCAGCAAAGCCATGATGGGACATGACAAGGGCTGCATGAATAGAAAATAGAAATGTAGAAGAATTGTAGCTGCAATAACTCTTAATTACAAAAAATAGCCTCCTTCTCAAAGTCATAATAACTGCTGCTTTTTGTTCGGTTTTTTTTTATTTGCCTCCTTGAGCAGAAGTTATGTTTCAGTGGGTGACCAAGCTTTAAGCTACTGTATCCCTTCCACAAATCTGCGTTTGCCCTTTCAAAGCAACTTTTTAGCTGTCTTGTTTATTTTGGTGATAGTGTATGAATGTAATCTTCAGGCTTAGTTAAAGCCAGTATTTTAATATTGAGGCTTAGTACTTTTATGTTGGGCTCACAAGTCTCTTGTGTATTAATATTATGATATTATTTGAATGTTGTGCAGCCTCTGATATATATGGTGTGGCTATTCATTGTTTAATTTGGATAATTTTAGTGTAATGTTCCCAGGGAGTTGTCTCTTCCATTTTTTAAAAAGGTGCTCTTGGAGAACAGATCTGTTTGTATACATATTTCTGTCCATTGTAGGGTTTGGTAAATGTCTTGTTCTTTTTTCTGGGTTGTAAAGTAGAGCAGGGAATGAGAGAGGCTGAAGGATGATCTTCTTGGTTTTATCAATTTTATAGGTGCATTAAAAGCTTGCGGTGACACTTTAACTGCATAAGCATTGCTGCTAAGTGAACCTAAAACGAGCCTATGCCTGTGGCCTATACTTAGATGTTGAGGTATAAAACACCTATTGCTGGTAACATAATGTTGAGAAATTGCCTCTTGGAGCTGGCTCCCCTCTCCTTTCAAGAATGTCAACAATAACCAGAGCTCCTACATCTCTTCTCTAATGTGTCATTGAAAACATGCAATGCCATTGTGTTAGTATTCCCCTTGCCCCCTGGTTGGCGTTGTAGCCTGCTTCTCACATGGGTAGGGGAACTAATGCAGTGTCATGTTGTACTTTGTTGCCTGCAGATCCATGTTATTATGGTGACACAGCTGGAGACGTGAGTTAGTGTCACCCTTAGACAGGGGTCGGCAGCCCCCAGCATACGTGCCGAGCAGCATCACAGCAGACTATCTTGCTTGGCTCTGAAGCTCCCTTGCGTCATCCTAGAAGCAAGAGTGTAATCGAGCTGTGATGGGTTTGGGCCACAGCTAGGAGGTAGAAAGGCAGGTTGGAAGGCACCAGGATCTTGAGGTAGATGTTGCCTTTTTGTGATATTCAGCCTCAAAACGTTTGCCTACCTGACCTAAGGCATTCTGGAGGATATACTGTCTTGAGTGGCATGTGTGGCAGGGGAACAAATTTAGAGTCCAGTGGCACCTTTAAGACCAATAAAGGTTTATTCAAGGTATGAGCTTTCGTGTACAAGGCACACCTTTTCAAATACAATGGATCTATGTGTGGTAGGGGGGAGTGTTCCCTCTAAGCTGAGTTAGTGTGAGCTAGCTCACAGTTTTATAGTCTCCAGCTCACACATTTTTGTCTTAGCTCAGGAAGGAGGGCTCCAGAGCAAACTAATTTATGCAGTAGCCAAATCGCTTGCTCACAACTTTCATGCCAGCAGCTCACAAAGTAGAATTTTTGCTCACAAGACTCTGCAACTTAGAGGGAACTTTGGTAGGGGGTAGTTTCCAGCATTTTTTTTTTTTTAAATGTGAAGAGCGAAAGCATGAGAGGGGCTGTGTCTCAGGGTTAAAATTATCTGCTTGGCATGCAGAAGGTCCCGGGTTCAGTCCTTGGCTTCTCCAGCTAAAACCATCAAGTAATAGGTCATGCGAAAGTCTGAGCCCCTGGAGAGCTGCTGCAAGTCAGAGTAGGCAATACTGACCTTGATGTGGACCAGTGGTCTGATCCAATTTAAGGCAGCTTTGTGCGTTCATGTATTCGACACTGTTTATTGCTGAGTGAGTTATACGAAGGGAGTATAAAAATGACCACTGACTGAAGAAAAAAGTGTTTGAAACAGCATCTCCAAGACACTCTATTACTTTAATAGAAATGAGGCAAAGTTTATTCGGAACCATGAAACTTCGCTACATTTTACTTCTAAAGCCTCAATATCAACCTAAGTAATATAAATGAACAGCGTTCCATGCACCTTGGTGTTTAGTCATGCTGGCCACATGACCGCGGAAACGTCTTCGGACAGCGCTGGCTCTTCGGCTTTGAAACGGAGATGAGCACCGCAACCCTAGAGTCGGACTCGACTGGCTTTCGAGCAAGGGAACCTTTACCTTTCTAATATAAATGAAATGCAGAAATAACTCAAAAGCCTTAATCATAGGAACATATATAACATTTATTTCTGTTACTAAGTATTAAAATGTGACTTTCCTTTTAGGCAAACAAATGTTAAAAATATATGATGGGAATGACGCTGTAAAACGCAATCAGTATCGGCTTATTACGGTTCCACGCATTGCAAAGCAGGAAGAAGTTGTGGTAAGAATAGTGCTTTGAACTTGCTGGCACCTTATGCACTTCAACATGTTAATTTTGTGGAATGTTATGTAAGTTTTATTGTTAGAATGTCCAGTATTCATCAACATCAACAAATATTAGGTGTTTGCAGTACAAACAATGTTTTGAGGAAGTACCTACCAGAAGAACGTAAGAACTGCCACGCTGAATCAGAAGAATGTTTCCTCGAGACTCTTGTCTTTTCTCTTGGATTGTCAGTCAAGAACGAACTCCTTCCTGCTGTCTTTTCTTTTAGTTTTCCAGTGCTTCTGTAGAGTTGTTGTTGTTGTGGTTCAGTCGCACAGTCAGGTCTGACTCTTTGCGACCCCATGGACCAGATCCCGCCAGGCCTTCCTGTCTTCCGCCGTCCTCTGAAGTTTGCTCATTTTCATGTTCGTTGCATCGATGACACTGTCTAACCATCTCATCCTTTGCCGTCCCCGTCTTCTTTGACCTTCAATCTTCCCCAGCATCAGGGTCTTGTCCAGTGAGTGCTCCCTTCTCATTTGGTGGCCAGAGTATTTGAGCTTCAGTTTCATTATCTGGCCTTCCAGGGAACAGTCAGGGTTGATTTCTTTGAGGATTGACTGATTGGATCTTCTTGCAGTCCAAGGGACTCTCAAGAGTCTTCTCCAGCACCATAGTTCAAAAGAATCTATTCTTCGGCGCTCGGCCTTCCTTATAGTCCAACTCTCGCAGCCATACATGACTACTGGGAATACCATTGCTGTGTACCAAGTACCAATGCCCTCCTTCCTTAGGCATTAATGCTGGCAACCCTTGGGGTCAAGTCTCCTACCCTCCAAGAGATGCCTTGTGACTCCTAGTTTGTGCGATTATAAGCCAGGAAGGTTAGACAAAGTGGGTATATGTGGTAACAGTACTTAGCAGAAGGCTGCTCTAGTGTGGCAGGAATTAAGGCACCTGCCTGCCCCTTCTGTGATTCCACAGTGGTCCTCAAAGAAAATCTAACTGCCGATCCAGGTGCCTAGTTGGATTCTATCGTCCACTCAGTACTCGATCACCTTTTCTGTCAAGACTGTTCGTGCAGTGATCTCTGAGACTAAGATTCCATGCTGTGTATTTCTATAGGAGGCCGCATTGAGGGCGTACTACATAAATGATGATCCTAAGGACTACGAACTTCAGACGTTCACCCAGCAGGCTTTGTTTTGTGATGACGTCATTAATAGGAATGACGCGACTGAAGAATCCCATCCCGGGTCAGTATTCCGAGAAGCTGTTCCTGAAGCCTGGATCATCAGAGCCAAACCAAAAGACAACGAAGTAATAAAGATTTATCCTGCTTGGCTCAAGTGAGTGATTTTTTCCCCCTTCCCCCTAAAGCTCATGTTCTCAAAGGAAGCAACAGATTATGACACTGTTAAGGGAATATCCATAAAAGAAATAATTCCTGGGGTTCGTTGCACAGAGACTTTCTAAGGTGACAGGATAATATGTTGATCGTTTCACAGTTGCATCATACAAAAAGGGACCCACCCTCACTTTATGTAAAAGAGTCCAAGGGACAAACGGATGCAAAGAAAAGGGGGAAAGGAGGGTGTCTGAACCTGCAAATCCTTTTTCTGGGTATATTATTCAGGTCAAGTATAGATGGGTCAGGGAGAGAAACAACCCTTATCCCCTATTATCCCTTCATCTCCTCCCCTGTTCTTAGCCACCAGACCCAGGGGCAGTATGCACGCCTACATGTACCCTGGGTAGCCTGCAACATAGGGAATCCACTCTTTAAGAGCTCTTGCACCCATGTTCAGGCTGACACTTCCTTGTACAGGCAGCCTCCTGCTCCTCTCTGTGCTCTTTGAAAATGTGGGTGGGATTTCCTGACTGATAGGCTTTTAAAGGGACTAGCTAAGGTGCTACCTTAACTTGAGATACTTTAAAATGCAGCTT